ACTTCTAGTTTATCATTTGGTATCTGAAGTGGCTAATATGAAAGGCAAAGGCCTCTAGATTACGCTTATTTTACCAAAATAAAATATGATCATGCCTTGATTTGTAATTATGGTGGCTTAAGAAAGCCAACCTGCTGTTTGTTACACTACATAAACTGGGGGAGAATGCATCTACCCCTAGACCGCTCATACTTAAACCACCAAACTAACTCCAAACCTACGAACTATACTGAATTAAGTTTGTTTTTGTTTGTCTGTTTTTTGTTTTTTCAAACTGATGCAACTTACGGTTTTCCCAAAACTGACCCCAAAAATTCGGAAGAGTCCCATTGACTAAACATTGGACCAAACTTTTTGACCTCATTACTTTGCTCCAGACTGTCATACAGACTTACGTTTTGGTTCATTCAACTTAGACTACCAATCTGCCAATCACTGATGACCTTACAGCTTACTAGCCATACCCTAGCAACCATACAGCACCCTAGCAACTGTCCCATAGACTTCCATTATTTAAAAAAAACAAAAAAACATTGACTTTACAATGGGCATACTAACAACATAACAATCCATACTAGTAATATACTAATCCCTACTAGAAGCATTCTAACAACATGCTAATTCATACTACTAGCAAGATGCTAATTCATACTAAATGCATGCTATCAACATGCTAGTTTATACTAGGAACATGCTAGCAACATGCTAATCATATTAAAACCATACTAATAGCATGCTAATTTACACTAGAAACATGCTAGCTACATGCTAATTCATACTAGAACCAGGCTAAATTGTTAGCAACTGTCTACCAACTACTCAGAACACTTTAGCTGACACCTAGCAACACCTTAGCAACTACCTAGCAACACCTTGACAACCACCTAGCAATGCCATAGCAACCATCTAGCAAAACCTTAGCAACCACCTAGCAATGCCTTAGTAACTGCCTAACAACCACTCAGAACACACTAGCAACAACCTAACAACACCTTAGCAAAAACCTAGAACAACTTAGCAACGGCCTAGCAACTACATAGCAACACCTTAGCAACCAAATAAAACACCCTAGCAATGCCTTAGCAACTACTCCGAACAACCTGGCAACATCTCAGCAACCATCTAGCAACCACTCAGAACACCTTAGCAACCACCTAGCAACACCTGAGCAAACAGTCAAAACTCCCTGGCCCCAGACAGCACACATACGTTGGGCCGACGTCGTGCCGACTTTCAAAATTCCATCGGCGCGATGTCGCTCAGGGAGCGTTTGCTAATTGGCAAAATGTCGCCGCGACGTCGGCAAATGATCGGAAACGCTGTCCGGCCGATGTTAGGACGACGCAACCGGAAATGCCGGCCGCTCCGCGGAGGCGCTGTTCTCAGGCGTTTTGCTCCATACTTATGGACCACTAGCTGCAGCAGCTGCTTATTTATAATAAACACGACACACCACTCTCAATAACAGTTGAAGATTTATTAATATTTTTCACAAACATACAAATAGATTAACATACTTTTATCACACATAACCATGTTTTACTACGTTTAAAACAAAACCAACAAGTTGTACTATAACCATGGCTGAAATACTGTGCAATAAAGATTTTAAATACAAAGTCCATTGCAGCATTTACATTAAGACCATAGGAATATTTACAAGTACTTCAAAACATGTACACTAAGGGTGACTATAGTTTACTATGGTAAAAACACAAATCACTTGTGTAAGCACATGTTATAATGCTTATAATTTCTTAAATAGTGTTAAAGAAAATGCATGTTTCCAAGACTATAATTTTTAAATACAAGATAATACCAGTCATGTGTTCAGTATCCAAAAGACTTTCTTCAGGGAGTTACAATAAAAAAAAGAGTACACAAACACAAAATAAATACCAAGCAAACATTATTTACAGTAGTAAATAAAATCATACAAATTAAAATAATTGTCTGATAAAATTTTATTAAAGTCTGTAGTCAATTTTTTTTACATTTTTTTTATAAATGGCATTCAACAATTTGCAATCTCCTCTGAACTAATAACACACCAATAATATAAAATAATACTTTCTCAGAGATAACCAGTTTTTTTTAAGCAAACTCTAATTCACGACACAAAACAGATTTTGTCATTATATATATATATATATATATATATATATATATATATATATATATATATATATATATATATATATATATATATATATATAAAATCCCTTAATTTCTGTTTAACGGAAATATTTTTTAACACATTTCTAATCACAATAGTTTTAATAACTCATTTCTAATAACCGAGTAAATAATATTTGACTAGATATTTTCAAGACACTTCTATACAGCTTAAAGTGACATTTAAAGGCTTAATTAGGTTAATTAGCTTAACTAGACAGGTTAGGGTAATTAGGCAAGTTATTGTATATCGATGGTTTGTTCTGTAGACAGTCGAAAAAAATTGCTTAAAGGGGCTAATAATATTGACCTTAAAATGTTTTTTAAAAAATTCTAAACTGTTTTTATTCTAGCCGAAATAAAAGAAATAAGACTTTCTCCAGAAGAAAACATAACATTTTCTTGCTCTGACCTATATTTATATAAATAAAACTGGTTGTAAATTGTGTACAATGTTCCAAGAAAACAGACAAAATTAAAAGAAATAACCTGTCATTTACTTTTGTTTTATCTTGTGGAATGTTGCTTACACATAAAAGGGGATATATAGGTGGAATAAAAAGTGTGTCGCCATCCTCGAAATTGTTCTTGTATGTTGTCTTCATCTTTAGTCTTCACAAGTGAGGCTGGCCCAAACCGGGACTGCAGTAGCCAAATCTAATCCTTGTAGTGGGAACCCTTAAATAAAGCAAGAAACCAAAAGGAGAAAGATTAGCATTTGAGCAGTTCATATTACCACAAATATAAATTATTTGTTTCATGACATATAACTGGAGTATGTGTTATGCAAGTGACTAGCTAAAATGTGTAATTTAATTTAAACTTAAAGAGTGTGTCTGAGCACTAATTTTCAGAAAAGCCATTTGAAAGTTAAATTCCTTGTGAAATCATAATGAATGTTTTTTTTTGGTTTTTAGTATCATTGTGTTAGTATAAATGTGTCTCTAAATATATGTCAAATCTTCAGATACCACATTACATGCAAATTAAACTAAGTTTCGTCAACTAAAATGTCACACTGTACACCACATTTAATATATCATAGCTAGGGCAAGGAGGAATCTGCGGATGTTTTTTGCTATTTCTGCTGAAAATTTTGGTGGAAGTCTGCGGATTTCTGCGGAATTATTTTGGGAGTATCATAACTAAAACCTTAATATATGAAATTAAAAATAATATATTTTAAAGTTTTATTTAATGTTTAAAATGCAAATCCAATTAGATTCACTTTATTTGGTAAATAAAGCAAGTTTTTCATGTAACATATCTAGTAAGACAGAAAATATTACTGTACAAACTGCATTGTACATAAATCAGATGAACATTTTCACATTAGTCAATAATATTACTGAAATTAATAAAAAAACTGAATAAATATAGATTTACACACATTTACTCAAGTAAATAAACAGAATTAATGATAGGCTAAACATCTGCGGAGTTCTGCGAAAAATCCGGGTGGGCCTAATCATAGCTTTATTTCTGCTACAAAAAGGTTTTTCAGCAAACAACTTCTATTATATGTAGGCTATAGAGGAGGATATAAAAAGAAATGATATATTCAACTCTCTAATTAAATGCACCTTATGCAGCTAATCAGGTCTTTTAGGCTTATTTGAAAACTTAAATGACGTGTTGACCACAGTTGGACAACGCTCAGTGAGAATACTTTTTTTCCACAAATTCTTTTTGTTCTAAAGAAACATGTCTGATTGCTAGCAATCATCAAAGAGCAAACTTTTTTTTTTTTCAAATAAATACTATGCTTTTAAAAATAAACTTTTCATACATCAAGAATACTAAAAATATGTTTATTTAAAATGTTTTATATATAAAAAAACAGCTTGAGGAGAGAATCAGTACATTGGAATACTATTTTTTCAGAAGGATCATGTGACACTATTAATTATATACATTGTATTAAATTCACAGTATTACTGCTTGACTGTATTAATTAAATAAAGCTGACACTATCAGAAGAGAATTTACCATACCAACCTAAAAGCTATGAAACAGTAGTGTATGTTTAAGATGTTACTTACTAGTCCTATTGTACTTTGGAGAGGTTGTCTGACAGGAGGATCCCTTCAACTCAGCAGAATTCTCAGCAGACCATCAGCGTACACCAATCTAAGAATAAAATAAGCAATTTGTTAAAAACCAAAAATATATATTTTATATTTCCAGGTTTATAGGAAAGAAGAAAGCTAAAGCAGATTTAAAATGTAGAAAAAAATAAAACCTTTTGACAATTTAATGGCACAACATACCCTAAACTAAGCACGCTCAAATGGTTAATTTTAACTGTTAAGGATTCATTCATTCATTGTCTTTTGGGCTTAGTCCCTTTATTAATCTGGGGTCACCACAGCGGAATGAAAGGCCAACTTAGCCAGCCTATGTTTTACGCAGTGGATGCCCTTCCAGCTGTAACCAATACACACTCATTCACACACACTTATACACTATGGTCAATTTTAGCATAGCCAATTCACCTATGTCTTTGGACTTGGGAAAACCGGAGCACCCGGAGGAAACCCACGCCAACACGGGGAGAGCATGCAAACTTCACACAGAAACGCCAACTGACCCAGCCGAAGCTCGAAGCAGCAACCTTCTTGCTGTGAGGCAAACGTGCTACCCTCTGCGCTACCGTGCTGCCCTGTTAAGGAATCAGATTAATATAAATGAATTGACATGTTTATTTAGTGTCTGACACATTAAATATTGCATTTTTAAATATTGTTTCATTTTAAGATTTATTTCAGAATTAACTATAGAACCGGATATATCGTCACATTTTCATGCACAGCAGCATTTCCAAGAACATAGAAAAACAGAATATAGGCCAACTGAAAAAAAAATAAATTAAAAAATTCTTAGGGTATAATCTTGGATAAAAATATCACAGTTTCACAGTATTGTGATTACTGCTCTGAAATGTGTTTTTTTTTTATCTCTGTGTAAAAAACAGCTACTTTTCCCCCATTGAACACAATATGTTTTGTTTTAAGAAACATTTAAAATATTTTGTAACAGTAAACATGCCAGGCTAAATAATAATTTAATAAAATAGTACTATCTTCATTAGACTCAAAAACACTGATTTCTTGTGAAGGCATAATAAGCTATTTGTTTTTCAGATGTTTGCTGAATCGTGAGCTGACCAGTAGCTTTTGATGTGGAGGGTCTTTTGCTGCTGTAAATAATGTTGGACTATTTTTTTAAGTCTTTGATAACGCGCTAAAAACCATATACAATGCATCCGGAAAGTATTGATACTTTACTTTTTCCACATTTTTAATGTTTCAGTCTTATTTCAAAATGGATTAAATTCATTAATTTCCTCAAAATTCTACACACAATCCCCATAATGTGTGTTGACCCGATTTTAGTTAATCATTTACAAGTCAATATTGCCTATATGGATTGTAATTTAAAAAAAAATTAACATGTAAAATTGCAGTGTTAAATGCAATGCCATCAAACATTTTAGACGCACCAGTGCAAAAAGCTAGTCTAGAGCACTTGGAATGCTGGTGTAGTTCTAGTTAAATTCAGTTCAGTTAAAGCTGTATATGCAACAGGTCTCAAGTAGAGGATATAGTATTTAACTAATCTTAACAACTAAACATTTACGAATCTGTATTGGCCAGCTCATGTACTACAATGTAACATACTGTATATTGCCACCTTGATACTTAAGCTTTCTTTAAAATATTTTGTGTTCAACCGATTAATTAATTCTTTCATTTAATTTTTTCTGTGCAATAGTATAGCTTACACTGGTGTATTTGTATGGACCCCCCAAAATAGCGGAGGCCACTTTCTGGCCACCCAAGTATAAACTTCTAGCCTAGCCACTGTGAACTACCGGTCTGTCCTGCTCCAGAACTCTTTGTCAGCTGCTTGTATGTCTGGATACAGCTGCACAACTCTTTTAACACTGACAAATACAGCCTCTGCACATCCTCACAACCAGGAGAACAGAATGATCAGGAGGACCTGAAAAATATAACCAACTGAAATCAGTTGAAATGTATTTTGTCTTGTAATGATGGCACAAAAATAAATTATTTTTCACAAAGGATGTGCTGTTACCTATGAAACATTCTATAATGAATGATCTTTTTGATCCTGTTTCCTTGATGTCATTCACTAAGAGATGGTTTGGACATTTGATTGTATCTAAACTGTAATGAATTTAAGTTACACAAACATTGATAGCAGGACCATTGATCTTGTAACTTATACAAATTGTTAAGTATTGAACAAGTCTGCAACCAAACTAGTCAAGTTAATAATACTAATCTCAACTCAACTATGATTAGTTGTCTTGTTTCTGCTGCCCAGACGGTCACACCTGCTTATAAAAAAAGGAAAAAGTATGGTATTTTTACAACAATGAAACTGCAAACAACTTAACTATAAGGGGGTAAGCAGTGAGCATCTTTTATTATAAGCAATTTACTGAATACTTTGTCACTGGTATTACCTAAAAACCAAACGTCCCAAGTTTGGCTCATAGCTGTCCACACATCTGCCCAGTAGCTTGTGGTAATACTGAAGACACTGATCAGCTGGTCCAACTGAGTTTGGAGTTGAACTGCAATCAGGCATCCAATACTGCAAAGAAAGAGAAACTCACTTTGGGTTAACAAATAATGTAATCCCACACATTTCAAGTAATTGTGCAGTTAATTCTCTTAAAATGAATGAATAAATTCTCTTATTGAATTTTCTGAGAGCTTATGAATATATTTTGTCTTCCCAAAATAGCATGTACTGAAACACAAAATTATATAAATATAATTTAATAAGAGCGTGACGTGGTGGCACAATAGGTAGTGCTGTCGCCTTACAGCAAGGATGCTGACTCGAGCCGCAGCTGGATCAGCAGGCATTTCTGTGTGTAGTTTGCAAATTCTCTCTGCGTTTGGTGGGTTTTCTCTGGGTTCTCCGGTTTTGCCTACAAGTCCAAAGACATGGGGAACAGGTGAATTGGGTAGGCTAAATTGTCTGTAGTGTATGAGTGAGAACAAGCGTATATGGTTGTTTCCCAGTGATGGCTTGCAGCTGGAAGGGCATCCACTGCGTAAAACATATGCTGGATAAGTTGACAGTTCATTCCGCTGTGGTTACCCCAGATTAATAAAGGGACTAAGCAGAAAAGAAAATGAATGAATGAATGAATGAATTTAATAAGAGTTAAACTGATCTGTTAACATGTCTGTCAGGAGCTGATCTACCTGTTGTCAAACTGATGAAAATGTTTTCTCAATTTACTTTAACATTTTTGTGTTTGTTTATGTTTTTATAACTTGAAGCCATTGTTAAATTTAAAAGTATTTTAAACATGCATGGACATCTAAATGCATATAGGGCACATATCTCAAAACATTATGAAATATTTCCAGATAAATCAATTTTATATTAAAATGTATATTAATCTCCAGACTTGCATCTCCCTGATCTTTTTAAAAGAACGGCCATTCGTTTGCTCATCACTGTTTGACAAGTGTCTGGCAGTCAGTCAAAAATATACTTACATATAAAGATGTTCATCAGCAACACGGCACTTAGGTTAAACTTAGACCTCCTTTTCAGTTGATGTGGAAAACAAAAGCAAAAGAAAGAAAAAACAAAACGACTGAATACAAGTTGCATATCATGCCTGTACAAATCAAAAATTATTCATTTAGGGCTTAAATTGACTTAAGGATGAGTTAAGGTGTAAGGGATGGGTGAACAGTGTAAATATACATGTAATTCATAGCTATGATGTAAAGCTAAATTTTCAGCATCATTACTCAAGTCTTCAATGTCACTTGATCTTTCAGAAATCTTTTTTTAAGATGTTGATTTAGTGCTTGAGGTTGAACTAATATAATGGTGATTATCAAATGGTGCTGATTTGCTGCTCAAGAAACATTTCGGATTGCTATCAATGCTAAAAACAGATGTGATGACAAATAATTTAGTGTAAACTTTTTTCTAAGATTTAATAAATCAATTAATCATAAAAAATTAAACAAAATGAAAATCACAAATATTACTTCATTAGCAGCAAATCTATATATTTATTAAGTTCTGAAGAATCATGTGATGTGAAATTTAATACCACTAACATGTTTCAATGTCAAAACTTTCTTAAAACAACTGCAATAAAGACAAGTAACAGATGCATAATATATAGACATGTAACATGTGCATAATGATGTGCAATGGAAATTCATATGAATTAATCCTATGCTTAAAGTTACCTGTCTTTCCTGCATCTCTGTGATCAGCTCCCTTCAGAAATTTAGGAATCTTGAGTTATATTTTCTGTAGCAGGAGGTTATTCTCTCACTCCTGAAACCACAGAACACTTTTTTACTTAACATTTAGTTTAAGATACCATGAAATATCAAAACACGATTGAACTTTTGATTCACGGTCCTTTACAGTAACGTTACAATGCGTATTTTAGACTACATATGGAGTGCATTCAATAAAACATTGACAAAACCTCTCATCTACACATAAAGAATAAATAAAAGTCAAAACTTTAACAAACAAGTTTAACAAGAGCTAACATTAAGTAAGTTAACGTAATATTACCCCGACGCTAACGTTACCAGTGCTAATATGCTAACGGACTTTTACGAAGACTTACCACTCTTATATAACTTAATATTCAACTGAATATTCATCAATTGCCAATAATAAATGTGTGAGGAACAGTTTTATTTAGTAATTGCTTTGTTTTAGGGACTAAACTTACCTGAAAACAGTCAAAACGGCAGCTTGAGAGAAGTCGTGTTGTGTCTTTTAGGTGGTGTCGTGTCGTGTTGTAGCTTCGTTTCCCATAGCAACATCCTCTCCGCTCCAGTGTTGGAAGCAAGACGCGCGCGCGCACATTAAAGTCTTGCAGTATTACATTTATAAACATGATCACTCCATAGACAATTTAAATAATAACCTTGTATTTTCTATCTTGAATTTAAAATGTATTTAGCAGTTTTATATACGCTATTATCTTTAAGACGAGCTTTATAGCCTACTAAACTGTTACAAAACAAACACTTTATTTGTGCATTCACTGTCAAAAATAAATAACCAATAAATATAAATGCAAGTATATATAAAACAAAGATGTCACTCTGTAAAAAGGTGTTTATTTTAATTAAACAGCCGAAATGCAGAACATACTTAATTTTTACACTGGGAAAAATGTATTAGAAAAAGCCACAATAAAAAAAAGCAAACAGCAGTTAACACCAGAAAAAACAACGTTTTCATTATTAAAGCATAACAATAAAACTTTTTATATTTTAATGAATTGAAATCATGTATTGTAGGCATTTTGGTCAGTTTTACTGCATTAATGTAGGCTATTTAAAGCTGGACCGACCGACGCAGTTCACATGATGCATCTCGCGTTTGTCTAATTTATTATGCACGCAAAAACTTACTTGTAAACCAAATATGTTGCCGGATTCTTTCATGGGCATGAGAGATAAAGTGAAGTGCTTCGTCGGCCTGTGGTCGTTAACCGACGCAGAGCCGACGTTTGTTGAGCTGGAACAATAGAACACACGACCGAACGATCATGCGTATGTTTGGCCGACCATATACCGATGTTAGAATTAAAGGGGCCGACGTGTTGACCTTCGGCCGACGTCGGCCCAACGTATGTGTGCTGTCTGGGGCAATGCCTTAGCAACCACTTAGCATCAAGTGACGATTGGGATGCAGTTTAACAGATGAATCATCAGAAAAATCAACCTTCTGCCACTTTTCCAAATGATTAACTTGAAGTCAAGTTATTATTTGTTGTTCTTACCATTGAGGTCGACGGCAAGACTTTTGTCAGGTAGTGTATATATTGCAAATATACAATTAAAACTCCAAAACACTCAAGAATTAGCTAAAATATACAACTGAAATATAAGAGCACATTTTAATGAGGTGTATGGATTGTTTTTTTTTTCTCCATTGTGTGTTTAGCAATAAAAAAAAAGTGTTTTCCCTGGCAGCTCTGCGCTCAACTCTTCTGGTTGGTACATTGAAAGTGAAAGTTCAGTAAAGTAATTGTGCTCCATACGGCAACAGATTTGCTTTGCTCTTAGCGGAAGCTAAGCGTGATCCCACACACATTCACTCAGAGCTCTTGAATAAATACTTGCAGATCTGTTTGATTGCACTGTTTACATCCATGGCCGTGCTCGTCCTCTGCGTAAGTGCCATGCACACATCAGCGGGCCCTCGCATAACGCCGGAGTTAGTCGAGACAACAATGACCATATTACACTCGATTATATTCATAAATCCGCTGCTGCTTGTTGTACTGCAGAATGAAATCCTGTTCATATGGGGATTATATAGTCTGGACCATCTTTCGATTGCAGAGGGAAAGTCAATAATGCAGGACGTGCATCTGCTGCACCTCCAGGAGATGATGTTTATGTGGCTGGTAATCTTATCGAATGACTACTGGATCAGAGTTTGTATTTGTAAGGGTCATGTAATGCTTATTTTAGGATTATTATCAAATTTGTTTGCGTGCGTTTTGTGTGTGTGTCGTTTCGGGTGAATGCTATAGATAATATATAACAGATCCGTTAATCTATAACATATTCCATTCGGACCGACTGTATCAACTGCTGCCTTGAATTAATGAAGGACAATGTGTGAAGGATTTGCAGTGAGGTTGCCCACACTAGTGTGTTTTTCACCTCTACTCCAGTTCTGATCATGGAACTATTCATTTTTAATGAGACAGGAACTCTGCTGAATAGAGAGGTGGGGAATGTTGTGGTTGCTTAAGTCACTTCACGCATTTCCTTTCCCCCTGCTGTACTTCTTATCTGTGTACTATTTCGTCCAATTTCATTTATCAAACCTCTCTCACCCTCTCCCTCTCCATTGCATTTTTTTTTTAGCCTCCAAGCCTTTTTGGCGATAAAATTTTAGTTCCCTTAGCTTCTGCCATTATCAAAGCAACATTTTTATTTATTTATTTTTGACTTATCATGTTTTTCTCTCTTGCTTTCTCTTGACCCATAATATTTTATAATGTCTGATCTTCAGTCCCGCACATGCTGCAGCTCATTACTCCGATTTGGCCGCCTCTTTGCATAAACACGGTTGGGGGCCAGTGATGTCCTCATTTAT